CTTCTCCACAGGGGTTATCAGACGAACCACTGAATCGTCAGAACGATTCAGCGGTATCAGTGGTGGAATGGGCCTAGGCTTGTTTTTAAGAACTTTGGTATGTTTCCAGAACGGCTTAGCACCATCTGGGAGGGAGCGGATCTTACTAGCAAAGTCGTTATTTTTGAAATTCCCCATCCTGGCTTGGGTCGATTTGGTAAAGCGATTGCAATTGGTCTTATGGACAGGCAGACCAGCGCGTTGATACTCCCAAGTAACAATTTTGGTGTTATGATGTTTCTGGATACCATGATTTAGACTTGTAGCATGCTTTAAAACTCGATAAAACTTGCAATGTTACTTGGGTCTGTCTTCCAATGGTGTTACGGAGTCTTATAAGGTCTTTGGTATATCTAAAGTTCAGAGTATTGCTCCCCTGTCTGGATACTGACACGTGTTGATCCCTGGCCTGGGTTATTGCCTCTCTTTTGATGTCGGCTTCAAATCGTTTCACGGAGGAACCAACTTCGGCCAGCACCGGATAGTGGTCCGAGCTGAGTTTCTGATACCTGATAGGTTGAGCGATGTTGTTGCCCATGTTGCTGATGAAAATATCAATGGTACCGTGAACACCGGACCGACGCAACCGGGTGGGAGTGTCCGGGCTCAAGATGTTGTAGCGAGCTTCTTGCAGATCGTTGTCTAGGATGGTTCCTTTTTGGTTGTGCTCATTGTTGCCCCAAGCTTGATGTACTTCTCACGCCTCCTAATGAGGTTAATGTTGTCACTTTGGCTGGTAAACGGCTGGACAATGCGTACCATTGATACTTCGCGTATCTGCAGGTATAAAATAGACCACACTAGCGGTCCTTAGCATCTTGTCCAGTAACGCCTATCCCTACCTCCCCGCGGTGCCGGCTGGGGTACGAGTAACCATAGGGAAGATCGAGTAACCAACCTCGGTGGGACCTTGGTCGTATGCTGACAGGGAAGGGGGGACTCTTCTCTCCGGCGAGTGCAGTCTTCGGGCGTTTGTTCACCATCCAGGTGCGGTTCAAAACGGCGTCTGTTCTCCATGCTAGGAGCGGTTGATCATCGTCTTGGTGCCAGCGTGGGACTCTAAACAGTGCTGTGCACGATGGTCCTCCGGTGAGACACTGGGGGTTGGTGCAGGTTGTAGGGCCAGCCGAAAAAAAAGTATAGGAAGCAAGCAATGTAAATACGGACCGGAACAATCGGCATAGACCCAAACAACGGAAACGGACTAACCATTGGAAACGCGGAACATGGAACTGTAAGTCTCGCAATTTATTGGGAAGTACCCGCATTCTTTCCGATTTATTGAGGGTCCGCAAGTTCGACATCGTAGCGCTGCAGGAGGTTTGCTGGAAGGGATCGTCGGTACATACATATAGGGATGGTTATACCAACTCCTAGAGCTGTGGCAATACACATGAGCTGGGTACAGCTTTCATCGGATGGGCGAAATGCAGAAGCGCGTGATTGAGTGGTGGTCAATCGATAACAGAATGTGCAAATTGAGGATCAAAGGCCGTTTCTCCAATGTCAGCATAATCAACGTGCACAGCCCTCACTTAGCAAGTTACGATGACGATAAAGACGCTTTTTACGCGCAGCTGGAACGGAAATACAACAGCTGTCCAAGCCATGACGTCAAAATCGGAGATCTTAACGCTCAGGTCGGCTAGGCGCAGGAATTCAGAGTGGTTATAGGAAAGTACAGCACTCACCAGCTAACGAACGCCAACGGCCTTAGACTCATCGATTTCACCGCCTCTAAGAACATAGCCATACGTAGTACCTACTTCCAGCATAGCCTCCCATATCGGTACACCTGGAGATCACCGCAGCAGACAGAATCGCAAATCGACCACGTTTTGATCGACGGAAGATACTTCGCGGACATTATCGACGTCAGGACCTATCGCGGCGCAAATATCGATTCGGATCACTACCTTCTAATGGTCAAGGTGCGCCAAAAACTTTCCGTTGTCAACAACATTCGGTACCGACGCCTGCCACGGTACAATCTGGAGCGACTGAAGCTGCCCGAAGTCGCAACTGAGTACGTGCAATGCCTCGACGCACCATTGGCAGATGTAGGAGAGCTCACCAAAGCCCCTCTTGAGGACTGCTGTAGCAACGTGAAAGCAGCGCTGCTGAAGGCGCCGTTGGATTCGTGCAGTGGAATCGACGGAACGATTGGTTCGACGGAGCGTGGCGGAGCAGTACACCAGGCTGAAACGTGAAGCAAAGAAGGTTGGATTAAAGGTGAATACGTCGAAGACAATGTATCTGTTAGCTGGAGGAACCGAGCGGGATAGGGCTCGCATAGGCACAAGCGTGACAATCGACGGGGATGAGTTTGAGGTGGTGGATGAATTTGTGTACCTTGGATCATTGGTGACGTCGGATAACAACTGCAGCAGAGAAATTCGTCGTCGTATTATTGCCGGAAGTCGTGCTTTCTACGGACTCAACAAGACCCTGAGGTCGGGTGAATTTCACCCCCGTACTAAATGTACCATGTACAAGACGCTGATAAGACCGGTAGTTCTCTACGGGCACGAGACGTGGACGATGCTCGAGGATGACCTGCAAGCACTGGATGTTTTCGAACGACGAGTGCTTAGGACCATCTTTGGCGGGGTATGCGAGAACGGTGTAGGGAGGCGAAGGATGAACCACGAGCTGGCTCAACTCTATGGCGAACCTTGTATCCTGAAAGTTGCGAAAGCTGGACGGGTACAGGTACGATGGGCGGACACGTTTTAATAATGCCGGACAACAATCCCGCAAAAATGATGTTTGTCTCGAATCCAGCCGGTACAAGACAAAGAGGAGCACAGCGAGCAAGGTGGTTAGACCAAGTGGAGCAGGATCTTGGAAGTGTGGGACGGTCAAGAAATTGAACACAAGCAGCCACGGACCGAGTGAATTGACGTAACATTGTGATGTAGGTGCAATCCTGAGGAATGTCGGACCAGGATAAGTAAGTAAGCACGTCACTTTGAGGGACCGCTGCCGACCCGTCTCTGATGTTGACTTGCTTGTGGCAATAGGCCGCAATGATGGAAATGGAGCCGAAAGAAGTGCAATATCACCCCTACGGATTCGATGACTTTCAACTGAAAACTTGGCAGTAGTCGGCAGCATTTGTTCCTCCATATTGCGACGGAGCTGGTTCTATCAAGCCGCATGAGCAATGGCAATGTTCCGTTCGTTGAGGAAGTCAATGAACTCGATGTTTTTGCTCTTGAGCGAGCAAGCGTTCCAAATTGGGATGCTGATGGTTTGACAGCTCATATTGAATGACGAATAGGCCAAGAGCTTGAATCAGGTCGAATCGAGTTTTGCAGCTGCGTAGACAGTTTGACAGCTGGGTGAAGAGGGGGATCAACTACTCCGGTGAGTATGAAGGATTAGTGTTGTCGTTGCGATTTCTGATCGCGACGCCAGTTAAATCCAGGGACCGGGAAGGGTTCCGGACGTGGTGCAGCAGTCGTTTGCTGGTTCGTGTTTGCGACAACAGCAGCAGCTAGACGATTGTTGAGTGGCAGCGGTGGTATCACCAGGATCGGTAGCCGTGGAAAGTTTGGCAAGTTGTTGTCTGGCGCCTTTCTTGCCTCCAGGCTGGTTGTTTGTGGAGGCTTTCTGGAGAATTGCCACGAAATCCGCTCGTTTCTGGCAGGTTTTGCTGCTGGAACGATGTTTTGCCTCACAGATGGTGTATTTGGGGTCCGCTTCCTCCATACTTTTGCAGCCGTCGGAAGCATTTTGTTGTTCACATTTGTTGCAGTGAGTGGTTATACGGCAGTTTCTGGCACCGTGCCCGAACAGTAGGCAATTTGAGTACTGAGTGACCCCACGGTGGACCAGCTTATACTGCTCTTATTGAACTACGGCCCTGTTCCACCCTGAATGTTCCGCAGATCTTTCAGGCACGTTGAGTGTTTCTCCAGGAGGACCAGATACGGCTGGTCTCGGAACTTTCGATTGGCATCATGATGCGTCATTTTGTGCTTCTGCACCGGTTTTTGTCCATTGGCCTTCAGCTCTTCCGACAGAGCATCCGTTTCCATGTTCGGGAATCCTCGCACACCAACCTTGAGTGGTTTGTTGGCCTCGATGTCGTGCGAGAAGTATTCTACTTTCATCTTTTCCAGCATGGTTTTACCTTTAGCTTGTAGCCCTCCGTGCAGTATTCGATGGTGCACTTCAGTCCTCGGGCGATGAAGAAGTATATTTGTTCCCGTAAGCCGGGCGGGAATCCCTTCACGAAGCAAGGTGGCATTTTCTCCTTTTTTTTATTTCATCCGGTAGCTTACCGATCTCCAGAACAGCAAAGCTGTTGTTTGCCAGAAGCTTTTTGGTTTCCGACTGTCGTTTTCAACGTTCAGTACCGTTTCCCGGATGTATCGGCCATCGCACTCCCCATGCAGCACAATTCCACCGAAATAAGTTGCTGCAACTTGATTGTGACTGGAATGGGTTGCACACAAGTAACCACGATTGTTCAGTGACAAGTGTGCTGCTAGGGTCCCACGTGATTTCTTCCCTATGTTGGGGTCAAACGATGCGTAACGAACACGAACAACTGACCGAGTATATTAACGGAGAGTACTGCTCAACAGTCGAGCAGAGGTTCCATAAGCAAGGAAGACCTTTTTACATATTTAGAAATCATGCTTTGGAGACCCTGCCTTTAAGAAGATTTTTGGCTCGACAAATTAAATCTACTTTCCCGGACCGGAAAATTCTGTATAGTTTTTGAATTACCGATTACGATTTTCTAAAAATCTGACGTAATCCAAGGTTTTCGAAAAAATATAACAATCAGGATGATAACCCATCAATTCACTGCATTCTATTATTCGAGTAAGCTTATAAATTACAACGATTTAAAAAGACAACATAAGTATTCGGTGGTGTCATATAAAGCGGGCACGTGCAGCAAGTGTTATTAACTAACTCCTCCCGCGGTGTTCCAGTAAAGCCCATCACGCCGTAAAATGTGAATAATGTCCAATGACGAGAATTTCCTTCGAGGTTCGCTTCCTCAGCAAAAACAGAAACGGTCTATCGGCACGAAATACCGGAAGCAGTGCTGTAGGTAGAGTATCTTTCGCTAAAACGAACACGAAATTTACAAATCAATTGTTTACCCCTCAAACTAAACTCAACACTTACGTGCATCCTCGGTTGCAATGGTTCCACCTTCAAGTACGTTGATCGATCCAGCCTGTTCAACGGGACCCAAGCCACTTCCGCGGAAGCGGTACAGATCGAAAGCATTCGCTAGGAAGGGCGAGACCATTCCCATCCTCGCCATACTCATCCCCAGTTGGACGTTGCTATCGATCGAAAACTTTGGAATCGCAACATCCACAAAGCGTTGTCTCAGTTGGGAATCGATTGTGCGATAGGTATCCAGATTTAGCTGCTGCACCAGCGTGGCCAGCGGAACATCTTCGTCGTTGGGCATCACAAGAATCATCGACAGATCCGAATGCCAATCGTACTGCATTTCCAGCGCGGTGAACAGATCCAGCTTCACAATACCGAATCGAGCTGTTTGCTTCATGAAATGTGTCTGGTAGTAACCAGTCGTGAACTTGAACACACCGGCTCTTCCGTCCGAGGGGTTGAATTTGTTCTTCCAAGCCGCTGATAGATTGAATGCACTTGAAACCAGTAGGTTGTAATTGGGCATATTTATAACTTTGGGAGACACTGTGATGACCGTATTGGGATCACTACTGGGCGCTAGAGTCACTTCCGGTTTCAGGTAACCGTTCAGCAGTGTCAAGAACTTCAAACTCAACTCACTGGGGTCACGATAAAGTTGGGCAGCAACCACGAAGTTCTGTCGATCTTCAATGGATTTGGAGAGGAAGGTTTTTAGCTGCGTGGCTGCTTCGGATCTGTCCTGCGGAAGCAGCAAGGCTTGCTGCATCTCGGTGGCCACATTCCAGTTGGCGATCTGGTACAGGAGCGTTAACGTTGCTCGGAAGATCGACGGAGACAAGGCGAAATTGTTCGTGGTTTCCAGGCTGTAGACTTGCTTGAATAGCTCCAAAGCGAAGATGTTTTCCTGGTCCGAACCAACGACGGATGTTGCCGAGCTGAGGCTGAGCAATAGTAGGAATAGCTTCCACTGTGACTCCATTACGACGATGAACTGGCGTCCGAATGTGAGATTGAGGTTGCTTTTATTAGATTTAAAGCTATCTTGTGGGAATTGGATCGCGTGATCCGTAAGCTTCCCAATTGAATGGATTCAATTTGTCATTGTGCATTAATAAACGATTTTTAATTACTTTTTATATTCAAGAGCGCTAAATCAGTGCACTCAATCGCTAAGATCAGGAAAATTATTCCAATGCTCTGAATGTATTGCACCCGGTGGCGTTGTCTTCACCTCTAGAACGTTTGTATAATTTCAACTGATATAACATTAAATTTCCATTTCTGCATTAAATAACTAGAAGCAATTAGTGCTAAGCTTTCTTCTGTCGAGCAGTTCCGGCCAACTCGAATGGAAATCATCCAAACCCGAGTGTCAATTGCCCATCACTTCTGGCACTATCGACGCAATCAACCCATCCATGCGAAACGCTCCCCCAGGGATCATACAAACATATTTCTTCACCAGATTCCTTCTGAAATCCGACAAAGAATGGGGCCGTCATTCCTAGAGGCATCTTGTGCATCTGAAAACCAATGAGCAATGATGCATCTTTGCAAAAGATTGTTGCTTTTGTCCGTACCGGTACCCTGAGCGTCACTCTGTGTATCTTGCGGAAAGGCGAAGATGACGACCAGAAAATGCCTTCAAGGCAGCCTCCAGCTTGTCGTACGTGCTGGTTGTTGTAGTTGATGGAAAAAGCTCATTGAACATATTCGCGCCCAGTGTGGAGTAATTTTCCCCCGCGGCCTCGTAACCGGTTCCGATGACTGAACAGACTGTCACGAATATAGCTATCATTTAATATCGCTCTCGAGCGCAAATTAAATCGAGACGAAGACATGTCCCCTTTGCGGGGACGCTGTGGATGAGGGAATACTGAAGAAATTTATTTTACGCTATTATGTGCTGGCTGGGGTCTATGAAGTTGCACACGCTGAACGACAGGCGGATGGTCCGTTGGGGGGCCTTGTCAGCAGCAGGTTCCACGACGTGGCGGCCAGTCGCAGTGCAAGAAGTGCGAAAAGGCAGCGACCTTTGATTGCATTATGTTGTCATTTTACGATGATTGACAGCGGAATTAGCGAAGAGTTTGTCATGAATGGAGGGATAAACTTTCCATTCCTTTTCCTTTAGATAAATACTGCATAAATGGTGGGTGACTTGGCTCATAAACAGCCATTACAAAACATTGATCGGTCGTCAAGGTCGGATAAAAAATTTCAATTCAAGATTAGACCTCTATTATTTCCTTAAGAAGCCCAAGTTAAGTTGATGTGGTTCATCATGTGCCATATGTAGAAATGAAATTTATGTACTACATATTCGTAATTTGGCTAATCGATTGAACTTTAAGTAATTGTCCGCCATAAATTCATTTCAAATCATTAGTCGCTAAACGAAATGACAGTTTCACTTCTGTTCCGAACTGGATATTGATTGCGAACTTCTTCTTTTTTCTTCCTCGTGTCCTCCATTCCATCGCACATTGGTAGACGGAGAGTGCGGGTGATTGATGTCACAAATGCTTCGGACTTGGTCTTAACCGACACACAGAGAGAGGAAAATAAGTGGAACGCAGCTCATCCCCCTCGATTGGTTCATCCTCCAGACTAGCGCATCTTCTCCGAAAGGAAAACTAATCGTCCGAAAGAAAGTTTTTTTTTCTTGCTTCTCATTTTCCACCTCCTTTGAACGCGACTGACGCTTTCATTCGATTTCATTGGGTCTTAAACGATTCCAAGTTTCGCACGTTTTTTCCTCTGAACTTAAATGATCGTCGTCGTCGTCTTCTGCTGCTGCTGTTGCTGCTCCGCATCATCTTCAAACAATTTTGCTCAATTGACAATCGATTTTCTCCCTCTATTTCACGATTGACTGCTGGCATCGTCCCACACGTCTGGGCCGAAAGTCGTCTTCATCGAACCAGCCTTCTGCTTGGTATCGATTTTATTTTTATTTCTGTTCCCAGAGACCGGTCACATACAAAAGGTCGTAATTGCTTTCGATATAACTTCATTGCCTCATTTCGTTCGAGATACGTTTAAAGAGTTGTTGCTGCTGCAGCAGCCGAATCAACAATTTACAACAATTAACAGTACATTCGGACGGACAGTTTAAGGCACTTGTCGAACGTACGTGAAGCGCAGAAAGAAGAACGCCGACTTTCCCATCATCAATAGTTGGCAATTAAAGAGTACAGACGCTTCCCCAAACATCCCGAAGACGGCCCGGGAACGAGCTCCATCTCTGATGGATGCAAAGGAAATAATGAAGCCTAATAATTAACGCCGCTCACTTGCTTGCTCGCTCATCCTATCATCTCGTCTCGTAGACTCGCTTTCCGTCAAGATATGCGGTCGTAAGTTTGGAGCTTTTGTGGAGGTAATGAGCTACTGATGACGACGACGATGGAGACGACGATGACGACCCTGAAGTTGTCTGTTTTTCCAGCCCAGCAGACATACAGACAGACAGCTAGATAGATAGACAGACGGTTGGCCTTGTTCTGAAATGGGAAACAGTGCTATAATCATCGGCAGTGCGAAAATGGTTACGAGAACAAGTAATTGCGTGCTATTCTTATCTTGAACTTTTGTGGTTATGGGCGCACGTCTCGCTTGTTGCAAGTTAATTTGAGCTTTGGATTTGGGGTAGAATTTTGAGAACACCGTGGATGGATATCCGTATTTGTATAGTCTAATTCAGGACAGTAGTTTTTAATGTTCTATACAAAGATGATTCTTAGGGACCATCCGTAAATTATGTAGCATATTTTGACTAAGTTTAAACCTTCCTGTATATAGTATATTTTGATGTAGAATACGTCTTACGGGAAGGTACAGGGGGTTAATAAAAAAAATCTAAATTTACGACAATCACAAAAAGGTGTTAGGCATTGAACGTTTATAACTTTGTTATTTGTAGATGAAATTAAAATCCAAATGCACCAATCGATTGAAAATAGCTCTACAAATCTGCAGAAATAAATTCTTTTACAATTTTTCAGAAGAAAAACTTAACAAAAATGTACAGATAGAAAAATTATAATTGTATCACAGTTTTCATGAAATAAACGGTCCCTCCAAACCCAGTCGTCTAAAAAACAATGAGGAGCTCAGCTAGGTTTATGGCTACCACTTTTGCTTACTGAATAGAAGATCATCTGTTTAAGATGTGTTGATCGGAAATCCATATCAAAACTTTCCCAAGAGCAGTTTTTGTCGTAACCTGTGAGGTCACCATTGGGTCCGAAATCTTCTAACAGCAAGTTGAACGGGAACTTCATCGTAATTCAAGAGCAAATTTTCACCGATCCGAGAAGTTTTGTTTTGATGACTGAAAAGTTATTCCTATTTCCAATTAAACACATATTATGTCATAGAAATAGTAATGTTTAACATATTAGCACGGTTTTAATCATACAAAGCAGTCATACCAGAATTATTTTTGACAGACCAAGAAGAATCAATTTTGACAAACATCTTGAAAATCACACGATCGACAACAGAGAGATTTTCGAACATTATACTTTATTTTCAAACTGTCAAATTTAAGTAAAAATTCAGAAAAAAAAGTATGAATTTTCTCTGACACTTCAAAAATAAATTCTGATGTTCGAACACCCTTATGTGGTTGATCGTCCGATTTTCGAGAAATTGTTTGTCCAAATTGATTTCTGGTTTGTGGAGAATGACCACCTGGGATGGGGATTGGTTTGTGTCTCATATGTAGTTGGTCCATTTTATGCTTAATATGCTTGTAGCAAAATACTCGGCAAAATAATGCTTCAACAGCGCTCAAACCTATGCTCTGGAGAGTGGGCTCTGCAGTGAAGTTTCTAGAGAGGTAAACCCTCGAGAGCTTTTAGGTGAGTGAACACGAGAGCACATTAAATTCATTTCTCTAGAGAGAGAGATTTTAGTTTTCACCACAGAAGTTCTTAATAAGCACTCTCTCACACTTGGCTTGTCATGTTCTCACCGTAAATATGGTGATTTGCTCGCATGAGTTGTAATGCATACATCCTCAAAGGAGGCAAAATATACGTACGCTAGAGCCACATTTGGGTGAAATGATATCACTGTGGACATGCCATCTTCATTTTCCAATTTCTCGAAAGATCGCAAATTTCGCTGATTTATTGCTATAATCTTCAATACATATTTACATATAATGCCTCATATACGGCTTCACAGGATATTACAAGATAAGTCAAGTTTTTTATCACGATACATTTATTTTATAGTTTAAATAGCACTTGAAGACAAGATTTTTATAAACTGCTTCTGCGAAGTCAAAACTAAGTGGAATCAGCTGATGTCATGTGGAATACAAATTTCAATACCTGCTTGATCACTATTGATTTTTGAAAATTAATGTGATTATCCCAACAACAAGTAGAGACACGAAAACAATGGCACTGCGATACGATTCCACAACAGACAAGTTTGAACTGATGCCACAACGCGGTCAGTTTAGAAAAAGAAATAATGAGTACAAGGCATTGTTACCCTACCTCTGAAGTATACAATGCATACATTCAGAATCTGTTTTGGCTTATTTTGAGACATCGACTTTTGGCCAGCTAGCGTAGAACAAATACCCCTCCGTGCGTCGTTTGGTGGCCCCCTAATGTTACTTAAGTCAAAGTTTATTTACCAGGATATTCGGGAGAATTATCAATCACGTATCCTTACGTGCAGTCCATTCATCAATTTAGGACCATCGAAATCATCTTAGCAACAAACAGTTCGATTTATTCGCATTAATAATGAGAATGCGAAACGATGAACGTACACTTTTTACGAGTTTCTCTGCACTGTTACTTAAGACAAACGGCATCTTCATAGAAATCGGGTGACTCAAGTAAAATATTTTGATCGGAAGGTGATTATTAGCAATTTGACTGTTAAATAAATTTAAAAATGGGATGTGATCCTATATTGGGACAGAATATAATGTAATAGCAGGATCATCGA